TGAACTGGGAAGTATTCCACGCTTTTCTGTTTTCCGGAAGTGATTGGGTAAAATTGGTGTTCTTTAAATATTTGGTAGAACCCTCCAGTAAAATCATCTGGGATTTTTTGTTTTTTGTTTTAGATTTCTTTTTGGGGAGTTTTAAAATTATGAAGTCAATTTTCTTAAAGGTTATAGGGATATTTAAATGATTGTGAGTTGTGGCAGTTGGTGCTTTTCAAGGAATTAGTCCATTTCATCTAAGATTTATGTGTGTAGAGTCGCTCACTGTATTATCTTATTATCCTTTTGATGTCTGCAGATTCTGAAATGAAATCTCTCTTATGTCCTGATACTGGTAATTTGTGTCTTCTATCTGATTTAATTACTTGTCAGTCATACAGGTTTGTGTCTTTTTAAAGAACCAGCATTTTGTTCATTGATTTTTTTGCCCTATTATTTTTCTTTTTTTAATTGTATTGATTTCTGCTCTTACCTTTATTATTTCCTTTCTTCTGCTTGCTTTGGGTTTCTTTTTCTTTTTTTCTTTTTTAGGTTATAGACTTGATAGGCTGTATTTTTAATGTGTCTTCCTCTTTGCAAATATAAGTATTTTAGTGCTATAAATTTTCCTCTCAGGACTGCTTTAGCTGTGACTCACAAATTTTGATATGCTCTATTTTTATTTTCATTTAGCTCAGTGTATTTTATTTCTTCTTATGACTTCCTCTTTGACCCAGCGATTATTTAGAAGTCTCTTGTTTAATTATCTAGTATTTAGAGATTTTCCTGTTAGCTTTCTGTTTTTGCTTTCTAGTTTGATTTCATTATGGTCAGAGGACACTCTGTATGATTTCAGTTCTTTTAGATTTGTTGAGGTTTCTTTTATGACTCAGGATGTGGTCTCTCTCGGTGTATGTTCCATTGACACTTGAACCAACTACTGTTGTTGGGTAGAGTGTTTTATAAATATTGTTTAGATCCTGTTGGTTGATCGTATTGTTGACTTCTTCTGTATCCTTGCTGATTTTCTCCCTAGTTATTCTAGAGGTTGTTGAGAGAGGGGTGTTTATGTCTTCAGTTCCAAGTTTATTGATTCTTTCATCTGTCCCTTTCATTCTGCTGTTGAACCTACTCATTGTATTTTTCTTTTAGTTCTAAATTTTTCATTTTGTTCTTCATATATTTTATAGCTCTGTTGTTTAGTCTGTACATATTGGTGATTGCTATGTCTTCTTGGTGGATTTACTTTTTTAAAAATCATCTTATAATATACCTCTATGTCCCTGGTAATTTTCTATGTTCTGAAATGTGGTTAAACACTAATCTAGCCACTCCTGCTTTCTTCAGTTAATGGTAGCATGATATGTATTTTTGCCCTTTTTACTTTCAACTTGCCTATATCATTATGTGTGAAGTTAGTTTCCTGTAGACAGCATAGAATTGGGTCAAATTTTTTTTTTTTTTAAGATTTTATTTATTTGAGAGAGAGAGCACAAAGGGAGACTGAGAGGGAGAAGCAGACTTCCCGCTGAGCAGAGAGCCCACTGTGGGACTTGATCCCAGGATCCTGAGATCATGACCTGAGCCAAAGGCAGAAGCTCAACTGACTGAGCCACCCAGATGCCCGAGTTGGGTTAAAATTTTAAATCCACACCATCAATGTCTGTCTTTATTTGTGTTTTTAGATAATTTACATTTGATATATGCTAGAACTTATGTCTTCCAGTTCATTATTTTTTGTTGTTTTCTATTCTCTGTTCTTTTCTTTAATTTTTTCCTATTTTTCTGTAGGTTACTTAATCATTTTTTAGTATTTTATTTCGACTTACAGTTTTTGTTTTTTTTTTCAAGATTTTATTTGACAGAGAGAGACACAGAGAGAGAGGGAACACAAGCAGGGGGAGTGGGAGAGGGAGAAGCAGGCTTCCCGCTGAGCAGGGAGCCTGATGCGGGGATCAGTCCCAGGACGCTGGGATCATGACCTGAGCGGAAGGCAGACGCTCAATGACTGAGCCACCCAGGCGCCCCTTGACTTACAGTATTTTTTGAGTGTATCTCTTTGTATAGCTTTTTTAGTGATTGCTCTTGGCATTGCATTATATATACATAACTTACCACAGTCTACTGATATTGTCAGATCTCCAGTTTGAGTGACATACAGAAATTCTACCTCACTTTACATTCCTTTGCCCTCTTCTGTTTATAATATAATTGTCCTAAATATGGTCCCACATACTCTTGGAATCACATTACACAGTGTTCTGTTTGCTTCAACCATCAAACATCATTTAGAAAATTCAAGAGAAGCAAAGTTTGTTGTATTTACCCCAACTTTTTCTTACAGTGTTCTTTTTCCCTTACTGATGTTCCAAGATCCCTTTTTTATGTTTTCTTTCTTTTTTAGAGAACTTCTATTAGCCACTGTTTTAGGGTAGTTGTGATGGTGACACATTTTCTTAGTTTTCCTTCATCTGAGAATATCTTGATTTCTCCTTCATTTCTTGTTTTCACTGGTAATAAAATTCTTGGTTGACAGTTCATTTCCTTCAGCATTTAAAAACTCCTGTGCCACTTTCTTCTGGCCTCCATGGTTTCTGATGAGAAATATGCTATTATTTGAATTGTCTTTTTCCTATAGTGAAAGTGTCATTTCCTTCTTGCTACTTCCAAGATTTTTTAGTGTTTTAATCGCTAGTGTTTAGAAGTTAGATTATGATGTTTCTTGGTGTGGATTTCTTCAAGTTTATCTTCTTTGGGATTTACTTGGAGCTGCTTGGATCTGTAGGTTTATGGCTCTTGACAAATTGAGAAATTTTCAGCTATTATTTATTCAAGTACTCTTTTTTTAGCCTATCCCCCTTTCTCCTTTCTTTCTAGAACTCCAAGACAGAAATATCAGTTCTTTTGTTATAGCCCCATAGCTTTGCTCATTTTCTTCTGTCTAGTTTATTTTTGTCTTCATATTGGATATTTTCTATTGTTTTATTTCCAAGTTTATTGATTCTTTCATCTGTCCCTTTCATTCTGCTCTTGAACCTATTCATTGTATTTTTTTTTTTAGTTCTAAATTTTTCATTTTGTTCTTTTTAAAATACGGTCTCTTTATTTGGTGAGACTTTCGGTATTTTCACCGAGTCTATTTTGTCATCAGTTTCGAGCATGTTTGCAGGTGCTCATTGAAGCATGGTTGTTATGGCAGCTTTAACATCTTTCTCAGATAGTTCTAACATCTCTATCATCTCAGCAGTCTTTTTTTCATTCTACTTTGAGATTTTCTGGTTGTTAGCATCACGAATTATTTTTGTTTGAAACCTGAAGTTTCGGGGATTATGTTAAGAGGTTCTGGGTCTTAGTTAAATCTTCCGTATTAGCTGACTTTCTCAGACTCAGCTCTGACACAGAAAGAGGGGAGGGGTGCCTCATTACTACCTCGTGGTGGTGGAAATCCAGTCTCCCCGTGTGCTCACACTGACATCAGTGATAGTGGTAGTGATGGTGATGGTATGGAGAGCTCCTCAATGCAGGCGGCAGCAATGAAAGTGCTGGCTCCCTGCTTGTCTTTTTCTGACACATCCAAATGGAGTGAAGTGGGATGACTTATGACTGCCCAGCCGGGGAGGGGGAGATATTTAGGTTCCCCACTTAGCCTTTGTTCCTGTGAATGGGGTTAGAGCCATAGCTTTTGTTTTTGTTTTTGTTTTTGTTTTTGTTTTGTTTTGTGGTGGTGAATGGCTGGAATAAAGCAGTTCTTGTCTAAAAATGTCCTGTCCTGCTGGGCTGCCCCTTTCCTGGGCCTTTGGCTGGAGAGAGCAGGCTTGGTTGGGGCTTCTTTTGTCATTCCTCTTGGCATTTCTGAGTTGCTCCCTGCTCCAGCACCCAGTGTCGGGTATGTGAGGCAAAGAGAAACCCAGGGACTCACCACCGGGTCATTCCTTGGGTCCCTGAGTCCTCGCTGGTCTTCTCTCCACCTTTCAGAGTTGTCTTATGTTTGTTTCGTACATGATGCCCAGGGTTTTTAGTTGTACATAGTGGGAAAAACAGGGAAAAGTACACTTACTACATTTGCCTGGAGCTGAAAGTCCTCCTGTGTCCTTTTGACGTGCCCATCACTTTGGGGTTTTTTTGAGCACTTAAAAAATTTTGGGCATAACAAGATATTCCAGATTCATCTTTCACCTCCCCCTATTCCAACTGTGAAATTAGCCATTTCTCCAAAAGGCCCTTGTTCTGTTTATTGCCCCCATAGGATTTTGCAGTGGGTGAGAGCCATAAGTCTGCACTCCCAACAAATCCATTACCACATTACAATGAAAGTGGATCTCAGACCAAATTCTGCCACATGTCAAAACATTTATTAACTCAATTCTTATTATCAGAGAAACACAGAATAAAATATCTTGCAGGCTTGAGAAGTCCTAGCTCTGTGGTTTTATTGGTGTTCTGAATACTGTTTACACAAAAGGTCACTACAGAAAAACTCCCACTTTTCCGTAGGGAGGGTACTGACACTTCCCCTCCCCACCAGCCTCAAGCAGGCAGAATCTTCCAGAATTCATACTGTCTCAGGACCAAGGAGGGATTTTAGCCTAGGGCATCACTCCTATATAAAGAATACAGAGCACCCTGGATTATCTCACAAATTCACGGAAGGGCAGTGAATGTCTCTAAAATATATTGAGCTAATTCATGTACCTTGGGTGTCTTTAATTTCACCAGAGATAGCCCATTTTTTTAGTAGTCATCATTGCTAGTCAGCAGGCCACTATTTTAATCAGATAGAAGCAAAGTAAGCATTGCTGAAGACACCGTGATGACTGAAGTCCTTGTAGGAGCTCCCTCTGGAGAATGGGCTTTCTGAAGAGAAGGCCAGCTGACCAGCGCTGGACAGCGCAGCCTCGACGAGAATGCTCGTATACCAGCGTGGGAGCTAAGTAATGTTTATGCCGAATATCCCACAGCATGTGCTTCGTACCGGAAGGTAAATCGGATCCCATAGCAACACTGTGCTTCAGCACAGCAGACCTCAGTGCATTTCAGTGGAACTGAATTAAATTAATACTAATGAAATCCGTAATTGGGAGCCCTTTTACATATCACCAGAGGGACACCATTATTAGCAAATATTCCTTGAGCAACTACTGCTCGCCTGATTCTAGAGAAAGCCTTCATAGGCAGCTAAGGAGGGAGAGCGCCATCAGACCCTACGCTCCAGGACAGCGGGAAGGGGCGCCCTGGTCACCAGCGCACCTCCTGTGCTGGCACCCTGGGGGCTCACCCTTCACAGGGCTCGACTGGAGGCTGAATATGGACACAAGGGAGCACGGAGGGCTACTGCTCCCCAGATAAAGAGTTGGTAGATGCAGGAGAAATGGGATGGAATAGCGATGTTTAAAGCAGCTCTGAGAAAAAAAAGACGATGGGCTAAGATGGCCTCGCCTTACCCGCCTGTCATGTCTCCCTGACCACAGCTGGGGCGCATCTGTGAGTCACTGTCCTTCTTGCCATCTGCTTTTGTCATCACACCATGACTGTGAGTCTGTCTCCCTCCCTCCTCTCCTCTCCCGTGCTCTCTCTTTTCTCTCTTTCTTTCTCCCGCTCCCTATCACTTTGTCTTTCGGCACCTGTGTCTCTCTCTTTGCACCTCTCCCCATCTGAGTTTCTCTGCCTTTCTCTTCTGCCTCCTATTTCTTTCTCTCTCCCTTTCTCTGTGTCTCTGTCTCACTGGCTGCCTCTGTCTTGCCTTTCTCTCTGTCTCTTTCTCCCACGTTTTTGCCTCATTCTCTCTGCCTGTGTCTCCCTGGTTTTCTCTTTGTGGCTCACTCTTTCTTCCCCACCCCCTCTCCCTCCTCCTGTTACTCACCCGTCCTTTCTCATTCCCAAGATGCACAAAGACTTGGATGTATATGCTGCTATCCATCTGGATTATACGTCTACCATTATAGATTTATAGGTGCCTGCTACATTCCTCCCCTGGTAGAGAGGCACACATCAGGTTCCCATCCCATCGGGGGGTCAGGCGGTTATCTACCTCAGGGGAGGATCTCAAGGCAGATATTCTCTGTGCAGACAATGATCCTTGTCTCTAGCAGGTGCTCCAAGATGTGTCCAGAATGGCGGGTGGGGGTGGGGTCGTCCAGCTGCACAGTTGGGGATATCAATGCACCACTGCTCTGTGGGATCTCCAGGGGATGTTCCACAGGGATGCCGGTGTCATGATTTGGGATGAATTATCTTTGGAGCATCCCGGATGCTACACCGGCTGCTTCCGGCCTGAGTGGGTTCATAATGCTTTGCAACGGTGGCCGTGGCCTGCCCACTCTGTGGATGGAGGAGTACAGACAGAGGCCCACAGTCCCCGTGGGATCCTCAGCTGCAATGAGACCATTCCATACCAAGAGCTTGTGGCTGCAGATGAGTTTCATAAGGTTTGGTAGGTAGAGGACAATGAAGAGGCCGATAACTGTGACTACCTTTTCATTTGCTCTTGTGTGAGCGGCTCTCTCTCAGAGACCTTCCCCATGTGCCGCTTAGTTAGCCCTGCCAGTAGCCCTGAGCTATAGATGGAACAACTGGCATGTAGAGAGTTTAGAGAATTTGCCGGAAATCACACATTTAATAAGTTGCTGGTCTGGGTTCAGTGAGCTCCTATTCTTTCCACTACCCCAGTGATTTTCAAAAAAAATTTTTTTTTTGGAACTAACAGAAGCCTTTAGGTTTAATGGTATCTCAGTATTTAGAAGAGCTAGGTGCTTTGCTGCTGTCAGTGAAGAGGAGCGGGCTCCAGGGTCCCAGTGCCTCCCCAGTCGTTGCCAGCCGTCCTCAGCAGCTCAGAGCACTTCCGCACAGAACAGGGGGAGGAGCTGGGCTCCGCCTGGGAAGAGTGGGTGCAAGTATGGGTGAGTGGATTGGTGGGAACGAAGGTGGGCTAAGTGACCGTAGCACAATGGCACATGAGCGAAATAAATACCTACCCCGGGCTGCCCATCACCTGCTTGGATTTGCCTCTGACAGTGAATTCTAAGGAGGAAGGGCAGACAGTCATAGTGTTTGTACTGTGGCTCGTAAATGAAAAATACCAGAATGTGGGGGCTCAGAGTAGCTGGCGACTTACTCAAGGTCACACAGTAAATGGTGGAGCCTGGCCACAGATTCCTGTGGCATGTGACCGAAGCAGAAGGAAAGAGGGAATCAGCCTACCTGCGAATCTGTCACTCCGCAGATAGCTTGCCTTCCCCAAGGTGATCGTGCAACTCTCAGGATATTTGTATCCATCTCGTGGGGATCCTGGCTAGCAGTGCCCCCCACCCCAACCCTCCAAAAAAAACCAAAACCTGAAAAACACACAAGTACTACCAAAGTAGTAACGATTCAGTTAAGCTTTAATAATTGTCAAGCCCAAAGAAACTTAGCGGTTTACTGATATAACCAAAAGTAGCCAGGGAGAATGAGGTCCAACAAGCAGCAGCCCCCGAGCTCCACGGAGGTTCGCCTGCATCAGGCTCTTCAACCAGCTGCCCTCGGTGACGGGGCCACCCACGTCTCTCCTCCGAATATATTCAGGCAGACCCAAGAGGATGCTCGTCTGCTTTCCATTTTTAGTGCAGATCTCATGTTTTCCCTGAAGTCATTTCATTTTATTTCAGGGTACAAATAAAGCATCCAGCTCGTGTACCCTCATGCCCAGCACGCAGGGTGTGCGAGTCCCGTGTGAATTCCTGCACTTTCCTTCTGCCTTGGACACCGGAGCCCTGTGTGGGTGGTGTTTGGGTCCTGGAGTGGTTCGAAGCAGGTGGTATGGGTGGTTTCCAAGTTTCCTGCTGCCGCTACCAAAATGACAGTCAGCAGAGAAGCCACGGCAGAGGGAAGAGTAACGAGAATGAGGATCAAGGAGCTGCCACTGGGGCCAGCAATGCTGGGCGGGATGGGAATTGCAGTCACTCCTTAGCCAGCCCCTTTTTAAGGGCTGCTCGTCCCTGCGCCCCCAGTTGAGCTCATCTTTGTTTTGGTGCATGCGGTCCCCAACCAAACCCTTCATGAATTTCTCAGCATTAATTCAATTTTAATTACCTCTGTAGTTTCTCGGTTGCTCCTCCAAATCTACAAAGTGGTGGCATTGAAACTGGTCCCGGAACTTGTCAGGTAACTTATCCATTAGTTGGTAAATATTCTTAATATATAGATTTGTGGTATATAGATACGATATGGTTTTTATTGAAATAATTTGGTATAAAATGAGAGTTAAAAAAAAAAAAGCAAGTATAAAGCCCGTTGACCTCACATAAAACCCCTGAAAATAAATATCAAGATAGAGCCCGTAGAATCCTATAGTTTAAGCAGATTGTATTTAAAAATGCATACTTTAAACCCCCCACCCCCTGCACCTTATTACATTCAGGTCAGGGCTTGCAGAAGTTATTCATGGAGGGTTTGGGGAAGGGTGAATAAAAGGTTATGTAGATGTGATTAACTTGGTATTAATGCAAAAAAGAACCCCTCTAATCTAGAAGTATTGACTATTTTAAAATGAGCTAGTAGCCATTGGGGTGAATTTATGTAGCAAATTGCTGTCTGCTGTATTCAAATTATTCCCCGAGCTCTGACTCATTCAGAAAGTACCAGATATCACGGAGGCACACAGTTATCATGCTTAATTAATGTTTGCACCGAAAAGAGTAAGGTTGGAATCTTTAATATCATCGTCGATATTGAAGAACTGAAATTGACTGATTATTCTTTTGAGATTAATATATTTTCCCCAAGACATACCCTGGGGTCAAAAGACTGAGTATTAAAACTATGTGAAAAATTCACTGCAATAATTGCTTTAGGGGCTAATTTTTTTTAATGTCTTGCTTCCTTATGCGGGTACCACTGATTGTTATAGCCTGCACACTTCACCCATTAAGTGGTAATTCACAGTGACAACTACATTGAAACGAAGCAAGTTAGTTAATTACCATGAAACCATCCCTGAAATACCCTGTCCGAGTGCTCCCGAGTCACTGGAGGCCTCTGCTTACCTGATTTTCTCCTGAAGTGAGATCTTCCTGCACAAAGCAGTGAACATGTTTATGGGGCTACAGGACGGTGGAGGGCTGCAGCTTGGTTGGGCTGGTTACCAGAGCACTGAGACTCTTTGAGGGAGCCGAACCCGGCTTGCTGCTGGCCCTGTGGGGATTCCTTGAGAATTGTCCTGCAGGTGCATGGGGGACCCTGTTGCTGTTCCAGTCCTGCAGCCTCGAAATACAGACACGCTGAGGGTCTGGGTTGGGCTCTGGCCCTTGTCCTATGACCTGGTTTTCACCAAAACAGGACTGGGGGTGAGCAAGAGCTCTGTCAGTAAGCACGTGCCCAGTGCTGTCTGCCCATTTTGGCTGGCCTGTCTGGACTGCTGGGGGAAGCTTCCTTTGTCTTCCTTTTTCTTGGTGATCAAGTAGGCTGTGCCATTGGGTCCATTCCCCCCCACAGGGAGGTCCGAGTTGGGACTAGTGATGTACCCCGGGCTCGTACATAAAAGTTCACCTTTAGAAGAGACACGGCAGCCATGCGAGGGGCTTGGGTGCCCCTCAGAGACCTGCCATGGCCCCCGCCTGGCTTGCTGCCCCCACCCCTATGCTCTGTGGGCTGTTCACGGCAGTGTTCCTCCTCCTCCCTGCTACTCCCAGTGGGGCTCTCTGTGGGCCAGTGAAAGTGCTTTCAGGGGCCACACTGCTTCTGTCACTCAGGCTTTTGGAAGTATGTTTCAGTGGCACAGATTTTGCCTCTCTAGCCAGAAAACTGCAGTGGTTTTGTTGGGGGGAGGGGGGTGTTTCTCCATAGTTTTCTTTCTCATTGATGTAGAGGCTAAAGATAAAGCCAAAGGATTCTACATGTCATATGGAAGACAGAAACCCCTCTGATTCCAGATCTGCCTCGTTCTTCTTGTTGCGAGAACACCCCTCAGTGGCTCCTGAGTGACGAGGAAGGCAGTTCCTGCCCTGCCTGTCCATAAGCTCACAACTTGATCCTCGAGGTCGTGACATTGAGATGTTGTGTGTGAAGATGCCTATAAACCATAACACTCACTCTTGTTACATAAAGAATTCAGCAAATATTTCATTAAGTGCCGGTCCTGTCACATAAGCACTTAGACACCAGTATGTCCTTAAGAAGCTCACAGCACTGTATGCGAGAGACAAGTCAACGTGTAGTTCACCGAACATCATTTTTGAAGCAAAAATAGGGAGAGAGCAGAATGGAGAACGTGGTCAGCTCCAGCGGATCAGGCAGGGCCGTGGAGGGTGAACAGGAGCTCACCAGGGACGAGGTGGGGCTGGAGTGAGCGTGGGAGGACGGGGCACCGCCTGAGCCGAGGGCAGTCAGTTCCTGGAGGTGCCAGGCTTCACATGAAAGTGGGGTGATGGATGTTTGCTTTCTGTGGGGAGCCATGCCCTCCCCGGGGCTCTGCATGCCAGTGGCCCTCCGTTATTCACTTGTGAGTGAGGCGTTATTCACATTCACCCACTGTGGGTCCAAACAAGGAGGACAGGCACGCACAGCCTCCTCAGGGAAGGGAGAGGACCCACTGCTTGGATAGCTTAGGGTGCATGGTTTTAATTTACCACACAATGTTCTGTTACAGTGGTCTGTGGCTACAGCGTGTTTCTCAACTCTTATTCCATGAAATGTCACCATACATGGCGGGGGAGGGGGGGAACAGACAGTTCAGGTCACAGGAAAAAACTGAAGCAGAGACAGACAAATTTGTGACATTGACAGAGCTGGTGAGAAGTTGCGCAGGGCAGAGACTGGATATGTGTCTGAATTCTCAGAGTTCATTTAAGAAGGGTTCCTCTTGCTTTTTCACCTTATTCACGACCAATTTAAGAAGCATCTTGTAATCTGTGTTCCAGTGCCATAGGGAAGGGATAGCATCCTGCTGTTCAGCAGAGGGAAAAAAAAAAAAGCAAACAAGCTGGGGGTGCGTTTTTGTGTCATGTGGGTATATGAGGATATCAATAGTACATAAAAGTTCAATTAAAAATACAGAAATTTTAGGGGCGCTTGGGTGGCTCAGTCAGTTGAATGTCTGACTCTCAGTTTTGGCTCAGGTCATGATCTTATGGGTCATGGGCTGGAGCCTGGCATCTGGCTCTCTGCTGAGTGGGGAGTCTGCTTGAGATTCTCTCTCTCTGCCCCTCCCCCCAACTCGTGCGTGTGCACGCACATGATCCCTCTCTCTCTCCCTCTCTCTCTGAAATAAATAAATCAATCCTAAAAAAATACAGAAATTTTAGGTATTTGTATTTAAAACATATACTGTGGAATGTGATAAATCCCTCCTCGCCCCAAATAAAACACTTTGGAAGTTGATTTTTAAGTACATTATTCTGTTCTCTGCACTCCCAGCCTTCTCATGTTCCCAAGCACAAGGCCTACATGATTTAACTAATTCAAGCATACAGTACTCAAAGAAGGTGGTTTTGAGACCAATGCCAGCATCGGGTGCAGGCTCCCTGGTTTACTCTAGGGTGATCGTGTCTGAGCTACAGCTGCATCATCTATAAAATGGGAATAATAATAATAATAATACCTGTTATAAAAGGTGTTTGTTGGGATTAGGGGAGAATATTATGTGAGAGTTGGTTGGTTTTTAGCTATCTGGTTGTAAGGTGCTGAGCCTTCCCATTTGATATGTCTTTGATACATAGTTTTCATCACTTGGACATTAATTTTGTTTTTAGGATTGTATAAGCATGCAGTCCACTTTAAAGCAATAATTAATTTTTTTAGATTATCCTATTTCTGCCATGTCAGAAAAGTGACTGTTTTGACTTGTGACATTTCCATAAAGCTAAAGGTTTGATGATTTCAAGGGAGATGCTAAAAACACATTTTGATATTTCCTTTAAAACTTATCTTCAAGCGGGCGCGTGGGTGGCTCAGTTGGTTAAGCGACTGCCTTCGGCTCAGGTCATGATCCTGGAGTCCCGGGATCGAGTCCCGCATCGGGCTCCCCGCTCAGTAGGGAGTCTGCTTCTCCCTCTGACCCTCCCCCCTCTCATGCTCTCTATCTCATTCTCTCTCTCAAATAAATAAAATCTGGAGAAAAAAGAAGTTTGAGTTTTTAGTTTTATTTCACCAGAAGTTTTAATGTGCTTGTGAAAGGCTTTC